TGGACCAGTTGGATCTGCCCTGTTCCTGGGCCCTTGCTGATGCAGAAAGGTGGTTAATATGGAGCATTACAAGAAGTTATGTTTGTGACGGGTACATGCAGGGAAGAAAATGAAGCAGAGGTATGGGTGCTAATGAAGAGGTAGCAGAGGGACAGGGGACAGGAATGGCCTTTGAAGACAGAATCCTGCCGAGACCTGACAATGTGGATGTGGCGGAAGCATCCACACAGGGGAACAACCATTCTAGGGAGCAGGAAGCGTGCATGCAAAGGTCCCGGCACAGGAACTGTGGGTGTCTTCAGTGTCCTGGCAGCATGGTGGGGGGAGTGGAACATGACAAGAAGTAGGAGGGGAGGTGGGGGGCATATTGGGGCTACCTCACCAGCCTTCATGAAGAGTTCCCATTGTAAGTGCTATGGCTGCTGCTAGTGGGCTTTAGTACAGAGACTGTCTGACTTACACAGACCTCTGACTATGGGGTTGAAAATGCACTCTAGGAAGCCAGGAGAGGAAAGGGCAGCCATGTGGGGCCACACCAGAGAGGACAGTATAAGTATGAATACCCACACAGAGACACAGTAGCTGAGCATCAGGGGTTGTCTTTGGGAAGCAGAGACCACAGGATATGGTTTGTCACTTGGGATGGCAGAGCTCTGTCCTTTTCTTAGATCAGTGCTGCATGGTGATGTCACTTCGGTGTCACTGGGGGTCATGAGAGCTGCTGTCAAGATGCTGGCAATCTTTCTGAGCATGCTGCAGGCAGGGATATTTGCTCCTGTGGCATTACATGTGTTTGTGTAGCTCTGGTGGCATTACATGTGGCCACATTGCCTACTTTAAAATTGCCTCATTGCTTCCAGAAGGAGCTTCATGAGCCTGCCTTGGTGGGCCTCTTCTTGCTCCCTCTGTCACCAATAGGGTGACATGCATGCAGGTATGGCCTCCAGCAGCCTGAATTCCTATGATGAGCAGAGAGCCCAGCCAACCCATGAGGAATGTGAAACACGAGCCAGAAACTCCTGTGTCAGCTCAAGTCACCAAGATTCTGGGACTGTTAGTTACCTCAGCTACCATAAGCTGCATATACCAGGCAAGAGCCCTGCCTCAAATAAAAGTTAAGTGAGGATGGACACCCAAGGTTGTCCTCTGACCATCCCTTGAGTACCATAGCACACACACACCCTCACTCATCACATATGCACACTATACATACATTCCATAAACACAAAAAGATTAAAAGAGAAGCCCATGCCTACAGTGTTTGCAAGCTAGCAAAAGCTCACACACAGTATGGCTAAGCTCAGGTACAAGGAGTTGTCCTGCTCCTCAGGTTAGCATCCTTAGCACAGTATGCACGGTCTTGGGGTGTATGAAAGGCATGGTGATCTCCAGAGGGGTACTCTGGGCTCCCATGTGTTCACAGCTGAACATGGGCACACATACTATGGTAACAGAAATTCTTTGACTAAGACAAATGTGGAGTCTATAACTACATAATGCTTTCATCTTATCAATTAAAAATGGGCTCAGAGGCTGGAAGATGGTTCAGTGGATAAAGTGATTACCATACAAGCATGAGGACCTGAGTTTAATCCCCAGCACCCAGCCTAACACTGCATAGGCAAAGACAGGAAGATCCCTGGGGCTCACTGGCCAGCCAGCCTCGGAATTGGAAGCTCTGGGTCCCAGTGAGACCCTGTCTCAACTGAAAAAAAAAAAAACAAAAAAAAACCACCCAAAAACTGACAGCCCCTGAGGAATGACACCTGAGTTTGACCTCTAGCCTCCACACATGTCACATATGTGAACCAACACATATGCAAACACACACACACACACACACACACACACACACACACACACACATACACACACTCTCACACACCCAGAGGTTCAGATTGAAGCTAAGATCACATTTGAATTCTAACTGCTTGGCAGCCAGTGATGGGGAATATTCAGAACTCAAGCTAGAAAGATGCTCATCTGACATACAAAAACAAGGCCAAACCATGCAGCCTACTGAACAATGCTCATGTCTGTGAATTCAGAAGTGAGTCAGTTAACAGCCCAAGACTCACGGTGACAAGGTGTTCAAGACTCTGTCACCCCAAGGATGGCTCATGTGGACACTCCTAAATAGCCCAAGCAGACAAGCGAGTCACCCTTGAAGTATTTCACCCAGTCTTGTAGAAGATCCCTACACAGTGACTTTTCTGGGCCCATTTAGATTTAAGCACTCTAGGAATTTTGCCTCAGGACACCAATGCAGATTCTGAGGTACTAGGCTCAGGTGAGTTTGCACCAGCTTGGCCTTTGTCTGAATTCATCAATGGTCCTAGTGGATACTGACAGCCCTGCTTCCTGACTCAGCCTTCTCTTGTGAATTGGAGGAACTGTTCAGCTCTTAGTCCTCTGCCAAAGTGAACTGAATGGAAGGCTGGGTGTGTCTCAGCAACACACAGAGGACAAGAGGAATCACAGCATGATCACTGTCCAACCAGCCAAGGAGAAGTGACAAGGTGGCAGGTCAGGGATGAGGCTGTAGCCTGTGGCTGTTGGCTCCACCTGTCCACAGGAAACTCGGCCAGATATCTGGTTACTACCCAATGGGTCATCCCTGGACCAGGCCCAAGCATGGTGGGTCCCATCATCCTTAAGCTCATTTATTTACAAATAAGGAGCAGGAGGAAAACTGCTCTACAGACATGGATGTCCCAGGGAGCGTCCACTGCACTGGCAAGGACAGGCTTCTCCCGCACTGAGGAGTATGGAGAACACGAAGCAGACCACGAGTGACCTGGTACAAAGAGGAAACCTACTCCCAGTCTCCACTCCACACAGGACAGACCTGGGGTTGCTTCATGCTCTTTCTAGACTACTGAATTGCAAACAACCCTCCCATCCTCTGGCCCGAGTTCACCTGTTCTCACACTCCAGTGCTCAAGGGACTAGAGCCATTGGCAAACTTGTCTCAAAGGACAAAGGCATGGAAAATGAGAGGGCTTGAGGAAGCAGGACATGGGAAGGGAGCTTCTTCAAGCTACAGAAAACACGCTTAACAATGTGTGGTGTGCTAGGCTGAGGAGTGTCCCCCAAAGATGCTCATACCCTAGTTCCCAGAACCTTATATAGCAAATGGCATTGGTAGATGTGGTTAACTTAGGGATTTTGAGTTGGAAGACTACTGTGGATTTTCTGGATGCGCCCACTGTCATCACAAGGAGAGGATCTAAATCAGAGAAGACATGACAATGGTGACAGATGCAGAGGTGAGAGTGATGAAGAGGGCCAGGAGCTGAGAATGCAGTGCTCCTGGATGGTGGCCCAAGCTGAGAAGCAGTGCCACAGAGGGTGCACTGTCAATGCCACCCCAATTCCACCATGGCCTGAGAAGGGTCCTGACCCTCCCTTATCTGACTGTCTGTGTAATACTCAGCGATTGTTGAAGTGCTTCCCTTCCCACTGAATTCTGAATAGGTCATCATGCAACTGTTAACCCCTCAGTACCCAGGCATAACTCCAGGTAGATTAAGTCAGAGCAGGATGTGAGAGGGGATGATAGGCAGTAAACTGTTTTTCATGCTCTCTCAATGACCCTAAGTGCAGACAAGGTGAGGGAAATGCTTCCACACACTAACAGAAGGTGTGGAGTGAGGCCAGCTGCTGGGGCAGATGACTGTGCATGCCCCAAGTTGGGCCCGGACCGGAGTCTGCCTTCTTCAGCCTCACCTGGCCCCTGGTACAGTGACAAATAACAGGTGTTTAATAAAGGTCTGCTAGGCAAATGAATACTAATCATCCAGCAAGCCAGTGGAGGTCTGTACCTCCTTCCTCAGGGAACCTGTATGAACACTGGGGAACAAATTATACCTTCACAACAGGAGTGGCCTATAATAAAAAAAACCTCCTCTGAGAAAGTTCTGGCCCACCGCAGTACATGCAAATAAGCATTATGCCATTGATGACTGAAAACTAGGGGAAAGTCTCATCCAGAATAGTAGCAAGCAAAGTACAAGAAACCAAGATGCTGACTTATTCTGTGTGTGTGTATATGTGTGGGTTCCCATGTACATGTGTGCCTAGGCATGTGAAGGCCAGAAATCAACCTCGAATATTGTATCTCAGGAGCCATCCCTCTTGTTTTTTGAGACAGAGTCTCTCATTGACCAAGGCCTGGCTGATGAGCTAAGCTGGCTGGCCAGTGAGCCCCAGAGAGTCTCCTGTCTCTGTCTCTAACACTGGGATTACAGGAACACATCACTACACTCTGTTTTTTTACGCTGGTACTGAGGGTTGAACTCGGGTCCTTATTTTTGTATGGCAATCACTTACTAACTGAGCTAGCTCTCCAGCCCCTGAAAGCTGTTATTTTGTAAATTTCAAAAACTATATTATTGTATATGTGTGCACATGTGTGTGTACCTGCATGCCACAGTGCACATGTGGAGGTCAGACGACAACTCTGTGGAGTTGGTTCTCTCCTACCACCTTAACGTGGGTTCTGGGGATCAAACTCAGTTCAACAGGCTTGCACAACAAGCACTTATGCCCCCTGAACCATCTTGCTGACCTAACTAGTTTTTAAAATACAGTTTAAAGGCCAGCCTGGTCTACATAGTGAGTTCCAGGACAGCTGGGGCTTTACAATGAGACCCTGTCTCAAAAAGACAAAAAAAAAAAAAAAAAAAAAAAAAAAATAAAAAAAAAAAAAAAAAAAAAAAAAAAAAAAAATACAGTTTAAAGGCCACAGCCAAGCCCACTTGAGTCCACGTTGTCTCAGACTCACTTGCACAACAAGGGTGATGTTGGTTGTTTACAGCAGGAAGTGTACAAGCCACAGAGCTGAGCACACTGGCTCTCAGCTGGCTCCTGCCTAGAGACTAAAGCAGTAGTAGGTAGTGCCCAGCAGCGATCCGCCTGAGCAGGCAGTGCCCATCATTGATCCGCCTGAGCAGGGAGTGCTAAGCAGTGATCCACCTAGTGCAGGCAGTGTCAAGTACCTTGTTTCCGATGGCCTTTTTTGGTGGGAAGTTGTAGGCTCTCACTTGTGGGAACTTGTTCTGTAGCTTGTGGTGCAAACCCCGGAACTCAGTGTACCGCCGATACACGTTCCACTCGTCGTCTTTTATCCGGATGTAGACCTACCAAGCGAGGGCAAGAGGAGGAAAAGGTGAGCCTGAACTTCTCTTAATATCTTCCTCACATAAGGGAAGGAGCTGGCACTGCCACCTCTGGAAACCAGCTCTACTGGCGCAGAGGCCACATCTGCCTCCACACACTGGACATCAAGCACCTGGCACAGAATAGGGACTCAATGGGACTGACGGGACAGTGAGCACAGGAAAAAGTCATTTGGGTGAATGACAGAAGCACCAGGCTGCACAGTGTTTCTCCAACAGCTTGAGTGACAGCAGAGGCACCTTCTGGTTGTCACGTGTGTACTGTCCTTACAAGGTGGTGGCAGTTTAGCAAATCTTTCCCCAAGGAAATCAGCTCTGTAAGTCCTACCAGGCCTGGGACCATGCTGACCAGAGAACACTGACCAGAGCACAGAAGGGGGACAGTTGATATGGGGAAGAGGGGAGTACGGTCAAGACTTTCTAGATTGTCAATGAGCACAGAACAGAAGGTCATACCTAGATGGTATGAACACATCTAAGCAAACATCTTAGTCGAGGAGCACCCTTGATGCCACTCCACAATGTTTTAGATGACCTGAAACCTTCCAGGGGCACAATGCAGCCACTTAGCAAAGGAAATCAGGGAAGTGGGAGACTGGTGGCTGGTTATTTATTTACTTTTTTTTTTTTTTTTTTTGAGACAGGGTTTCATTATGCAGCTCTGACTGGCCTAGAACTTTCTATGTAACCAGGCTGGCCTCAGACTCGCAGAGATCCTCCTGCCTCTGCCTCCTAAGTGCTAGGGCTAAAGGTGTGTGCCACCACACCCAGCAAGACTCCAGTGGGGAGGGTAAAGTCTCAAGGAGAGATGGCTACTGTAATTTGCAGTCAGCAAAGGTCAGTACACACCTTCAAGATTGCTTTATACACCAAGGGAAACAGGCATCACCTCAGTGAGTGATAGATCCTGACCCTGCATTCTTCATAACACATTTGGAAGCCAGTCATTTTCAGGAAGGCATGCCTCCTATATTCTTCCTGGACAGTCCACAAGGATGCTCTGTTTCTGCCTTTGTCCCTGCCCCCTATATACACCCCATTCTCAGTTCTACAGGCCTTGTGTTTAGTCCGGTGACTCCCAAATCTGTATCTTCCTTCCAGACCTCTGACATGAACTGCAGGCCCAAACTTGTATCTTCCTAGGCCCTTCCAACTCTTCCTATGTGAACCTGAGACCAGGCCCTATCCTGTAAGCCTACTCTCCTCCTGGCTTTCATTTTTTCATTTTCAAAGACAAGACAACAGCAAAACCACCCTTGGTGCCTCTATTTTAAAAGCTCCATTGCCTGCAAGCCTGGTCAAGCCAGGGAACAGTCTCCCAGGAGTACAGTGAGGGAGAAGGGTGGCAGGGGTCTGAGGGCAGAGTAGGATCTGGGTGCCCTGACATGTACAGCATGTCCACATTTCTGTCTCTGCATCTGGAGCCCCAGGCCTTCTCATGGGTGTGAAGTGGCCAGTGGGCATTTCTGGAGTTCACTGCAGCTACACCCCTATACCCGGAGGTCACTGATAGGCAGGGGAACAGGGAGAGTCCCCAAGGCTCCACAGACCACCCACAACTGGCTCCAGTTAGCACCCCACACTGATGTGGATAGTGTCCTTATCTCTTTGACTCATGCTCCAAGAAGAAATAATTATCTGTGATCTCAGCAAGCGGGAGGCCCAAGGTTGAGAAGAAGTGAACAAACTCCAGTGAAACACAAGACTGTCAGGGCTCAACAACTGCCACCAATGGTGCGCCTGTGATGGGCTGTAGGTCATTACACCTGGTACATATGTGCGTCACACCAGGCACACACCTCTCTTCTCATCCTCTTCTGATGAAAGCATGGTCTCAGAGAGGCCATGTCACCAGACCAGGCAAGTGGGGAGATGAAGGATTTGAACTCAGAGCTGCCTTCTCCTCCATGTCCCATGATTTCTACCCCAGTAAACTGCTGCAATGGCCGGGGCTCACAGAGATCCCCAGAATCTGAAGCCAGCAGTGTGGGCAGCCAGGAAAAGGCACTCTTTCAGATGCACAGAGGCCTAGATGCCCCTTCCCTGGGCATTCTGCGTGTTCTGTAAGTGTTCTTGCTAGAGAGCCCCCAATTCTACCTTCTCACTTACACCTCTCCCTTTAGATTCAATGATTTAATCTAATGGAATCAAATGCCATTAAAATCATCCCAAATAACCTAACAGCAGATCACCAATAACGTTGTTAGCAACCAAAATTGGAAAATTTGAGATGCAAATGAAGTTGTCCATGAATTCTATTTTACCAAATTGTAGCCTTATTTCACTAAGAACCAAGAGAGCTTATGCTTAAAGTTGTTAAGGTTATTTATTTATTTTCTTTAAAGGGCTCCACCACACAAATTAAGTTTGGCCCCAATTCTCTCAGCTTGAGCCTTGAAGAGAATAATTCCTTAGAGGGATGAAAGAGTCAATCTCTCCTACACATCCAAGACCCCTTTTAAAACAAGTGATAAACATCACTTCAAGTCTCGGCCCTTTCACTCAGCAGAAGGAAGCAAAAGAGGAAGGCACTGCCGACGGCTCGAGTCAAGGTCTGAAATGCAGACCTTGAGATTCCCTTCCCTGGGAAGATTGACCCCAGTAATGCTGATAAAAAATGAGGAGGCAAAGGGGAAGCTGGGGCAGGGGTTTAGTCCCTCGGTGCAGAGAATCCAGAACAAACATGCGTATGGACAGAGCTTTGGGGAGTCGCTTCCACTGAGGAGACAGAGCATCCGTGACCATCAATAAGCAAACAAAGTGTGGCAAATGTGGGGCAGGGAGGAACCCTTACACACTGCTGGGGGAATGTGAACTGGTGTGGCCACTACGGAAATCAGTATGGGGACTCCTCAAAAGACTAAAATAGAACTACCATATGACCCAACTGACCTAACTGTACCCAACTGGGCATATACCTGATGGATGTGAAGTCAGCACATCATGGAGACACCGTGGCAACATGCCTCCTGTATTGGCTACTTCTCTGTTGCTATGATAAAACACCATGACCAAGGCAACTTATAGAAGGAAGAGTCTATTTGGGCTTACAGTTCCAGATGAGAATCCAGCATGGCAGGGGACGCACAGCACGAGGCAGCCAGAGTAGAAAGCTGAGCATGCACAGCACATACAGGAAGAAGAGCGAGCATGCTGGAAGTGGGATGAGGCCACGAACTCTCTTGCCCACTGATGTGCTTCCTCCAGCAAGGCCTCACCCTCTAAACCTCCACAAACAGTGCCACCAACTGGGGTCAAGTATTCAAATACTTGGAGCCTATGGGGACATTCTCATTCAAACCATACCACCATGATTTACTTGCTCTGTGAGAATGAACATTTAAGAAGTCAGGCTAATATGGGCATGGCAGCTACTAACAGTCAAGGGTGGGACCCTTGCACCTCTTTCCTTTGGGTGCAAAACCTAAGAGTACAAGGCAAAATCATAACTTATTACGCTATTAGGAGAAAATATGGCTGGTATCTCCATGGCCTTGGGGAGAAGTAAGGATTCTAACACAGTCCTAAGTCTAAACCAAACATAGACCATAAGGGGCCCTTGTGGGCACTGTTTCTGCTTCTCCACCTCAGCAGTGTTCCTTCCACATGACAGACGTGGCTCAAAATCAGCTGAGCTCAAAAGATCTGCATGATGTTTATGTCAGTCCTGAGTTTAGGAATAAAAATAGAACAAAGACATGTCTTCTTCCTCATCCTCAGGAGAGAGTTTCTACTCTAACTCAAGGAGCTGGAATATCTAATTCAGACCATGGGCCAGGGCAGTGCCCAAGGCTTTGTGGTAAATGTCCATATATGTTTGAGGTACAGTGGGCCCAGCCCTGAGAGGAAGACAAGAGACTGGGTTTGAGCCCCAGCTCTATCTCTTGCTAGCCAAGCGATCCTGCATAAGTTAAGTCACCTCTTCCTCTTGGTAAATGTGGATGAGGCAAACTGGGTGACTTCAGGACAATGTCTAGTATCTCCATCAATATATCTGGCAAAAGTTGGGTGTTCCAGTGTAAAACTCATTATATGCACAGTGGGAGAGAGGAGGAGGGACGTGAAGATAGATGAAGTCTCAGGTGTAAGGCCTGCCAAGCACAGCACAGGCCTCTTTAGCCCAAAGCATGTGCAAGGTTAGGCAAGTTTGTAGAGGGACAGGGCACAGGGCTGTGTACAGGAAAAGCCTGGGCTGGCATCCCAGCCTCCCCACAATAACCCTAGGGATGGCACCCCGCCTTGAGACTCAGTTTTCTCCCCTGCAGAATGGGGACTAGGCCAGCTTTGCCAGGTGGTCACAGGATGTCCCACCTCACCCGCACAGTGAGCAATGGCAGCTATAGATATGGCAAGCCCTGTCACCTCCATCATCCACTGCCTTTGTGTATATGAACTTCCCTATTACAGAATTAGGGGTAATTATAGGATGTGCAGTCACAAAATTAAAGCAGGTAATTACCATGCCTAATTAATTGTCAAATGCTAGGCAGGCAAGGGAAACACAACATAAAGGCAGGCTGTGATTGGGCAGTTCTGTGTCCCCTCTGCCTGCAGAAAGCTCAACAGCCACAGCAGAGGTCAGTAACTGGTCTTCTAGGGTGGGTTTTCAAGCACCAAAATAAACCAAGGATGAGCTCAGTGCTCTGACTCAGCCTGAGCTGAGCGTCCTCTGCATTGACTACAGGCCAGCAGGGCATTTATACACCCTGTCACAAGTGCACCCAGAGGATCCAACCAGAGAGCTATTTTAGGAAGAGGACCTGTAGGAGATACTTGATTGTGGCTCTAAACTTTTGCAAGGATCAAACCCCACAGAGACAATAGCATGCATGTGGCAAGAATGCACAGATAACACTTACACACTGCTGGTTTAGAAGCAAAACATCAGGATGGCTCCACTTGCTGGGCACATGTTAAACATTCTCTTTCTACTCCCAACTTCTGTGTTACAAAAGTCCTGA